AATCGGACCCAGACCCTTTAGTCCTGTGGTCAGCAAACTGCAGCTCGCCAGCCACATGCAGCTCTTTGGCCCCTTGAGTGTGGCTCTTCCACAAAATACCATGGCCTGGGCGAGTCTATTTTGAAGAAGTGGTGTTAGAAGTAGTTTAAGTTAAAAAAAATTTGGCTCTCAAAATTTTCAAAAGAAATTTCAATTGTTGTACTATTGATATTTGGCTCTGTTGACTAATGAGTTTGCCGACCACTGCTTTAGTCCGATACTCTATCCACTGAGCCAAACTTGCTAGGGCAGGGCCTTGATCTTGATTACTCTAAACTAATCACAATATCACATTTGCCAAGAACCAGTTCAGACACCCAGGGTGAAGGCAATCTGCATGGTGTTTACTTAAGCAGTAGGCACCTGACTTAAGATGACCAATTAGGTGGAAGATGTCTGTTTGGGCTGCTATAACATAATACTGGGTGCTTTGTACACAACAGTGATGGAGGCTGGGAAGGTAAAGGTCAAGGCATTAGCATGGTCAAGGTGAGGTTTTCAACATATGAATTTTGGGGGGACACCAACATTCAGACTACAGCAAAAGAGCAACACCTGGCTTCAAACAGTAGTAATCCTGTGAGCATGAGTGAAGTCACTGTGAAGACAAAGATAGCACACCCTTAGGACACAGCCCTGGGTAATGGCACTGGAGTCCTGATTTTGATATCTATGGACTTACTGTTATGGGCAATAATAAATCTCTTCATAGGTTTAGCTTGTTTTATTCAAGTTTTTCTGTGTATGTGTTGGGGGGGGGGTGTTTATTTGTGTTTGTTCTTGTTTTTGTTTTTTAGTTTGCTGGTGAAAGCATCATAACCAATATAGTTTTATCAGTATTTTTATTTGTGTAGCAGCCAGAAGGTTTAAAGCATTTTTAATTCTTTAGATTTTCTCAACAATAGTTACAGCTAAGGAAGTAATAATACTAGCTATGTGCCAGACACTATTGAAATCACTTTATCTGTAAATATTAACTTGGTTAACCATAACAGCTATTTATTAGGTTCTTATCACAGCCACCACAAAAGATGGGGACTATTATTGTTGGCAGTTAGTTGTTCAAAAATACAGAGATAACAATAGCTTGTGTGCAAATAGCTGGGGAAGGGTAAATAAAGCAGGAGTTGATACAGGGAGTCTGACTCTAAAATCCTTCATCTTACTTCCAGGGAAATGGCAAAACTTTATAAATAGGCAGAGTATAGCTTCAGCCTTCTTAATCTATTCCCATTTCTCCAGTTCCATCCTTCTTGGCCACCCTGGATGTTTTTTGCCATAAAAGAGCCAAGTTGCTTCTAACAGGTTTCCATTGCCCCTTGATTGGCATTTGCTAGATAGTATTAGTGATGATAGTTGATACTTAGCACTTTCCTAAACTCTACAGATTTATTTTAGTTAATACTCTTCCCAAACCTAAGAGGCACATACTATTATATTCTTAATTTACTGATGAAGGAACAGAAGCAGAAGGTGGTAAATAAATTGCTTGAGGCCATATATTCAGGGAATGGGAAACTCGGGGTTCAATCCAACTTCAACTTTTTTGATTAATCACCATGTTCTGTTATCTCCTTAGTCATAAAATGCTTCCAAGAACAAAGTTTTGAGGATTTGGTGGCACTTGACTATTCCAAAAACTACCTTAAAATGATACGAGGTTAGAGCACCCAGCTAATCCAGGGAGAAATAGGAGAATACAACCATAGGCCTCTTTCTTCTGAGTGAATATGTGTATCTCTGAGCTTTTGTTCTAAGTCATCAATAAACAGGCTGAAACTGGACTTGGGGAGATAATTCATATTATAAATATTCATGTAAATTTCTACTTGGGGCCAAGCACCGTTGGTCTTGGGAGCAGGTTTGGGTGCCTAGTTCAAGGCATGACTCCAGGCTCTTAACAAGACACCCAGGGAGGATGGAGAGAGCAGAGCTAGAGGAGGCCTATCTGGGGAACCACACTCCAGTCATCTCCAGTGGAACTGGAGGCTCTCCAGGGCCTAGAGGGGCAGAACTGGGACGGGAGCTGTCCGTGGTTCTGGCTGAAGTCCACTCCTGGATATTTAAGGTCAAGAGCAGCTGGCCCATCTTCCTCTAAAATGGGTGGAGAAGGCTGGGACTTTGACGGTGGCAGGAAGGGAGATTGGGGAGGGAGTTGGTTTTAATCAACCTGCTGTCTGGGGAGATCTGAGAACCCCATTTCCATGCTCTCTGGAGCATATGTCATTGCCTGGGCGAATCTGAAGGTTTCTTTTCATGTTCTCCTTTAATATAACCTCCCATTTTAAATTTAAAGATTTTAGCTATTTTGATGTCTCTCACCCTTCCCTGTGCCATAATTGATTTCTCCTCCAGATCCCTCCTCTGCCCCACCTCCAGATGTAGGTGGCAAAGCACCAGGTGAGGGCTTCGAAGGCACATGGCCATTTTAATCTTTACTCTTGATAAATCCAGGGCAGGCTAATACTGGGATTGGCTTAAAACTCACTGTCCTGGCCTGTATGTCCAGGAGATAGAGCTTTTAATTTAACCAAATAAAAACTGGATCTTTGGAATGCTGAGGTTTGAGTTTCTTAAAATGGAGCTTTGGTTTGTGGTTCCATCTGAGCAAATTCTGAGCCAGGACTGAAAAATGAAAGACTCTTCCTTTTAGTTCAGAGAGCCCCAGGGTGGAAGAGAAAAGGGGGTCCAGGAGTGGATGGTGCATAGATGGAAACAAGAACCTGCTGAATCAGCTCAACACAGTGGGCCATAGAAGCACTACCCCGTGCCCCACCCAGTAATCATTTTAATGAGCTTGGTCCCATTAATGAACTGGAAGGAAGTAGCTGGTCAAATAAATATTTGTTGTTTTACTGAGGATTCAAGAAATTGCAATAAATTGCATTGTTAATCATTGTATATTAGTTGATTCTTTTACAAACTATATAGCTAATGGCTAATTTTGGTGACATTTATTTGATAATCCTTTAATGGGTGGTGATAGAGCAGTACTCTTAAAAGAACAGGATGCTTTCTTATCACATCCATAGTTGAGGGACTAATATGTCCTGCTTGGTTTTTCAAGAATTATTTCTAAGGTTGGCTTTGGAGTGCAGTGCTCAGAGCAGGAAATGACATTGATAATGGTACCAATGTCTTATTTTACTTAAAAACATATTTTTATTGATTTTAAAGAAAGGAAGGGAGAGAGGGAGAGACAAAGATAAACATCTATGTGACAGAGAAACATTGATTGGTTGCCTCCTGCATGCACCCCGGCTGGGAATCAAACCTATATCCTGGGCATGTGCCCTGACTGGGAATCCAACTGGTGACTATTCGGTGCCCAGAGTGATGCTCAACCCACTGAACAACACCAGCCAGCATAATGACTTTTATCTTAAAAATTGGTCTGGAGTTCCTGCCCCTAGAAAGAAAAAAAGTTTGACCATTTGGGCAGGAAAGTCTTAAGCTTGGGCAGCAAAGCAAAGTCGTGTTTTCTTGTGTTGAATTCTCAGTAAAACAACATGTCTGGAGAATGATGATGTTTAAATCAATTTCCTTTATGTTAACTGTTACATAAAATGAGCACAACACAATATTCCTAGATGGAAAAAACAATTCATTAGCAGCATAGTGTTGACTTTTTGGAGCTTGTAAAACTGGTAATTCTACAGCTCTAGAAGGAAAAGGAAGCTTCAAAATGTGTGCAACTGTTAGAGGAATGAAGATCTACTGCCTTCAGCATCAAATAAATTTTTATTTCAATCTCCAAAGTTATATTTTTCAAGATCAAGTTTAGCTTCATGTTAATGACATTTCATTATTTTATTGCTTACAATATTAATTTGCATGTATATATAGATTTGGACTGTGTTGAAAGGTTTAAATTCTGTAGTGTGAGAATTATTTCAAAGCACAGTTTTTAAGGCATTATTATCCTCCCCACTCTTTCTCAGACATCCAGTGTTCATGTGAAATGTACAACCAACAAAAGTCGAAATCTGTTGACTATCCATCCAGATATGACTTAGATGATCACAATGAGCCCCTACAATGGATTGGAAATCAGATCCTTTGACCATTGTTTCCTGTCACAAGATTATCCAGCTAATATATTTCTAAGGCAGTGAGAGAAATGTTTCATTCCAAGAGACACTTGAAAGTGCAAAATTTTGTAACCACTAAATATTTTTAACATAATTAGAAATTCGCATTTGCTCTTTAATAATGTATTTCCTTATTCATTCAATTACTGTTTACTGAATATCTACCAGCCAATCTTTTAGTTAACATCTAATAAATCTTAAGCGTCTTCCAAATATCTCCCAAAACAAACTTTACAATTACTGGAAAATGATGCTACAAGTTGTAGGGGCCAGGTGGGGAGTAGTATTATCTTCCACAGCAGTATTTATGGTTACAATAAAACATACAGAAATGTTTTTATATTATACTATGAATTTTAATGTTTCTATTTTAATAGGGTTCTGAATTAAAGAATATCTTTATAGGCAACACAGTAAAGCAGTTATTAGAATCATAGTTCAATGAAATAGAAATTGACTTTTGTAGGATAAGATTTATATTAAACCCCAAAGTTCAATTCTGATCACTGGCTTGTGTTTTACATTGAGTGATACATACTCCTTTAGGAATTCTCTATGGTAAATATGTGCATGAAGCAAGTCACAGATAAATTAATTTTTATATAAAGTGACATTATTCATTTTAACTCAGTTGAGAGTATATTATTATCATCTCAAAATCAAAAGATGACCCCAAAAAATCCACCTTTATGCTGTCATTTCAGATTATTTAGACTTATTTGTTGCTCCTTCACCTTGTTCAAAAAAGTGACTTAAGGTTGTCATTTCTAATTAAGGTTTGATTTCCAGACTTTCTCAGATAAAATAAAAGAAGTAGTTGGATTTCTATCAACGGATTCTTAGTTGACCGACCCGGTTCTGTCCATGGCTTCACTTTATTTTCTGGAGGGCACTGCAAAGGATTCCAACTTCACCTACAAAAAAATATAGATGAACCATTCATATCATGAACACATACTCTTCAAGAGTCCACAATGTGTAAAGCACTAGAAAATCACTGGGATGCACCTCAACCCTCAAGGAGCTCACAGTGATAGGATTTGGGCAATCATGGCTTAGTTTCAAGTTTTAGAAAGTAAGAGAGCTATTAATGCAATTGGCTTCCTCTTTCTATAGACTGCTTCTCAGAAAAGGAGTTAACAGTTTTCTAACCCGGGAAAATTCCCAGTTGTACTGTTTCTCTTTTACTTGACCATCCACTGATGCTTGCAAGAAGCTAAGCCACTGAACCTAAAACTGTGGTTCATACAAATCTGTGTCAGAATCACCTGGGACCTTATTACAAATACACACTTCCAAGCCTCACCACATATTTAGTAAATGTAGTCTGGGGCTATGACCCATGACTTTATTTTTAACTATCATCCCAAATGATTCTGATGCACAGTAGGTTTGAGAATGCACAGTCTAAGTAGATAACTCAGCCTAGACCACTGGACTAAGTAGGTCAGATGAAACTACTCTCATTCATGCCATGTTCTTGCCATTCTTATTCTTATTCTCATTCTTATTTTAATCTTCATAAGAACATGGCAAGAAATTTAATAAATTTCTTCCTCTTTCTATTGTGAAAATAAGAAAACACAACTCTTGATTTCTGGAAAAGAGAGCGGCCTCAAAGGTATGTTACTTACTGTTGATGGAGTCAGCCAAAATCTTAAGTTGCTGGGTATTGTCCAAGACCTCAATCCTTTGGGTGTATGGGTCATAACGAACTGAGAAGGGCCGTGGGATTGTAGCAGCAAAGTTTCTGAAACCAAAACCCTAGATCTGAGTGAAGGGCACCATTTGAGGAAAAAGTAATTCTGAAAGATTTTTCAATGGCCTTTCACTTGGCTATTAGTAACACAGAAAACACTAGAACAGAGGCTTTAGACATATGATGGAGTTTTACTGAAGTCCTCTTGGGAACCCTTTGCTGTTTGTGTGCCTGTGTGACTATATAAACACATGTAGACACATATTTATTTGGTCACCTACTTTCAAAAAAGCAGAGGCAGTTTATAATAAAAGCCCAGATTACAATAAGGCCCAAATTCTCATTATAAAATAAAATAAAATAAAATAAAATAAAATAAAATAAAATAAAATAAAATAAAATAAAATAAAATAAAATAAAAAGTAGAATCCAGCTACAAAGTGTTATAGAAAAAAATAAGCTCTGAGATGCTTGGCAATCAGTGCAAGGAGGGAATATAGCTCTCAAGAGTTGAAGAAAACACTCCATATGAGTGAAATTTAGCAGGCTCCAGTGCCTCCCCTATAGCAAGAACTATGTTAAGTTCTTACTGTTTTATAGTCTTTATAATTCTCACTCCTATTTTAATCTTCAGAAAAACTCTAGCAGGAAGGTACTATTATTTCCCCCATTTTACAGATGAGAAAACTGAGGCTTGGAGCAGCTAAATGTCTACCAAAGCCATACTGGCAATATATTGTGAAGCTGAAAAGACCAAGGTAGTATGACTTCAGTAGGCCTGTTTCTTCTTTATTACTCCTAGGTCTGGGAGAAATGCACGTTAAGCAATGTAATTAACAAGATTATCTATTCCAAAATGATCCATAAAATGCAAAGGTATCACAAATTATATTTCTAAATCAGCTTCTGGTGAAAGTAGAAGCTGCCATAATGTGAAGACAATTATAAGGGAGGCTAGTAGGGCTCTCCAAGTTTATCAAGTCTGGTGGAGCACAGTGGCTAGATATCCAAGTTCCAGAGCTCACTCACATCCTGAGATTGGTGCATTTGCTAATTACTTGTTGAGTGCCTACTATGTGTCATGCAATGTTCTAACGGCTGGGAGAAGAGTAAAAAGCAGAATAAAACAGAAATAACAAAATCTCTATCCTCATGGATCTTAAATCTCTATCCTAATGGGTCTTAAATTGGTGCATTTGCTAATTACTGTTTAAGTGCCTACTATGTGTCATGCAATGTTCTAAGGGCTAGGAGAAGAGTAGAAAACAGAAATAACAAAATCTCTATCCTCATGGATCTTAAATCCTATAATACAGTATAGTAGACATTATTAAGTAGGAAACAGACAAATAAGTCATAGAAGGGGGTAAGTAGTGCTGGGGTAGGGATGAGTAGTGATTTTTAACTAAGTTGGTTAGAGAAATATGTACAAAGAAGGTTAAATGTGGGTGAAGATTTGAAGGAGGTCAGGGAGCGAGTTCTGCAAGTGTCTAGGAGAATAAAGTGAACACGGGTTATAAGATTTCAAAGACTGATTTGGTGGAGGAACTTCTGTATCCACTCTGCACACAGGAGGGTTCAATCTGTGGATTTGGTGGCTATATTGAACAAGGATCAGGTGGCCAGGTAGTCTGCAGGGATCGGCATGTGAGGACAAAAAGCTGTGAAACAGGGTCTTATGAAGGAACTCCTCTCAACAGAGGGTGGAAAGGGACAAGGGTGGGAGGCTCTGTCTATTGCACACTATTACTATGGGCATTGGAGTCCACCTTGTGGCTAACCACCCACCAATCAGTGGCACCTCGTGGCTAATCACCCACCAATCAGTGGCACCAGAGCAAGTAAGGAGGTCCCAAGAGATGCTGACCTGCCTTATTTGCCATCTCACCTTACTTTCTCCTTGGCATCATTAAAACTCTCAGCCACATAATACAGGGGCTGGAACTCTGTGATCGTGTACTCCTGGATGGCTGTCTTCTCCAGTTCCAGAGGGAGGAGTATGGGCTTGTCCGACAAGCAGTACTGCAAACATCAAGTGGAAAAATTTCAGTTATATCAGGGCCAATAGTCCCTGCTGCATCCCACAGGCCATTTGTGTGCCTTCTTCCACCTCATTTGTATTCCTTCCACACCACAGCCCAAATTCAGTAAACTGAATTACTTTGCATCTGCTATATTCTACCCTCTATAGTTCATCTAAAACCTACAACCAAGATAGAAATAAGTAATGCTTTGCAAGCATTTTCAAATAAGGTGATCAACAGATGAAGGGGCCAACCACATTTGCTGACATGTGTTTTCATACATCTGTAGGCACAGTTCAACCTTGGAATCAGGAGGCCCCTCTGTCCTGGAGCCCTCTGAACTTAGAGTTCAAGTAACACCTACACTCATGATCAGATCATAACTGCAATGGCAGCAATCTCTTCAGGTTAATCCCTTTAGTTGTATCACAATATGAATGAAAATGGGGTTTCCATAGCACCAAGGGGAAAAAAAAGAATAGTCAGCTGTTTCCACCATTTTCAAATCTATTGTTAGTTCCTGCTAGAGTCATACCTGTAATTCACCAAACGATGACAGGAGCCCAGCGCCATATGCCTTTATGGAGTCTCCTTGTTTGCAGAGCCCAAACTCCACAGTAAACCAGTAAATCTGGAATGGAAAGTCAAGTTGAGAGCACACCCCAAGGGAGGTAAAGGCAGCAGATGCTCCACAATCAATAAACGCCCAAGTGCGTTTGTGCAGGTTTGTTCTCTGAATCAGCATAATATGAGGTCACCTCTCTGTCTCTTGTGTCTCACCCTAACCAATCATCTGTTGAACCAACAGTTGGCTGAATGCAAGATGAAACAGAAAGCAGAGACAGTGGGGAAAAGTATTGAGGGTGCCCTAAAAGTATACCCCTAACAAATTCTTCTCTCTAGAACAGGAACTCCTCCACCACTTTTGCTTTCTTCTTCATGGAATAAACTAGAGTGAGATGTTCCCCTTTTGTTGTTTGAACTTACCAGGCAATCCCATCAGGCTTTGCAGTGGGAAGCAGGTGATTGGAGGGTGATAGAATCAATGAAGGGCCATCCCCTCATCTGTACTAAACTTGGAATTTCTGAAAGACCCCCTATCAATCATTGCTTCCACATACACACAGACTTTATGCCAGAGAATTCTCAAGGGCAATCATTACAGCTTATTGATATTTTCAAGGCACTCTGTTTAGAATCACATGTAAACATCTGCATGCAGCTGATTTCAAAATCCAACCATGAAGGAGAAATCCAAGTGCAAAGTTATACTTTTGCAAATATAACCCAGCGCATTCTGATTTTCTTCCCAAATGACCTGGCTTTCAAGGGAAGATCAAGGCTTCAGAGACCTGAGGGCTGTAACCCAAAACATTTCCACTTCCCACCACAGAAAGACAGAATTTACCGTGGCGAGTTTCTCAATGTACTCATCAGGTGCACCCAAAGAGGCAAGGCCAATTTCCTGTAATTATGAAAAAACAGAGTCATTGGCATGACAGGATCTGCCTATTTCCAACTTTTATCCTCAGTTAAAGATAAAGGTACTTGACCACAGAAGGTAATGGTTGGCTAGGTGTCTTCAGAAGAACTCAGAGAGAATCTGATTGTTCTGTCAAGTCTTCCTTAACCACACACCATAGAATCACAGATCTCTAGAGTGGGGAAACCATTCCCTAGCTGGCCCTTTATATTTGTTTTTTACAGATGAGAACACTGTGCCATAGAAAAAAGGAGAGGCTGTCATGACCACTTCTCATCACAGCTTTAACTGCAAAATTTCTCTAGCTGTCTTTTTGTCTCTGGTGACATGGTAGGGCCTTGTCATTCAACAATCTCATGATCCATTGATGGTTCTAGGCCACCTCTCAAAGCCTAGAGTATTAGTAGGATTCTTTCACTGATCCCCAAAGCATTTTTTTAACATGGTCACCATGGTATGGATGAGTCAAGATCTAGCCTGCTGTTTTGATGATAGTGAAAAAACATTTGGCTTATTATATTTTGCCAACTCTGAGTAGGGCTATTGGCATTGGATTCTTGGCAATCTTACTTAATGAAAACATACACCAAATGACTGTTTGACAAGGTAAAGTCACTTCTACATGAGAATCAGAGAGTTTTCATGGATGAAAGGTTGTTATACTATACCTGGAAGGACAAATGAGATTAGCAAATTCAACAATATAATTTAGAGGATGAAGGATTAACAAATCAAATGCTGTGGTCCTAGAAGGGGTATTGCCATAGGACCATACACCCATCTCAGGTGGTAGCACAGAAGTGTACCTTCCAGAGACATGAGGCTAAAAGGCTAAAGAGATTCATTCCTCACCTGGGAAAACTGGGCAAAACTGCGATCTGAAAACAAGGGCACATGTCCCAGCAGTTCATGGCAGATGTCACTGAAAGACAGAAGACATAGACCTTGGGGGTGAATAAGGGTTACAAGCAATCCTGACTCAATCTTTCTACATAAGGAATAGGTGGGGAGAAAGGAAGTAATCCCTTCAGGTTTATGCTCTCATTTCCAAGAATAAATTGTGTACAATTTTGGGATCAGGTGAGGGAGAGTATAAGATAAAAGGAAGAAGGGGGAAAAAGTAAGAGACAGGACAGGACACAGCAGCCAGGGGGTCTTAGGTATGGCCAGTGGGTGCAGAAGAGCCAATATTTCTGTTGGCATTCTCCCAGATACCTGAGTGGCTGTGGATCATGAACACTTCCCATCCCAAGTCCTCACCTTGGCATTGATATTCTTGGGCAGATACAATGTGCTAGTTATTCTCCACAGGAAATGAAAAAATAATTTTTAATAAAATTGTTCCTCTCTTATTCTAGAGTGGGCAACAGTCAGTCAAAAAAGAAAACGTACATTGATTTAACACTTTATGTGTCAGGTCCTTTAAGAACAAGTCTTTTCTGATTTATAGTAATAAGCTTTGTAGGCAGGGAAAGACCATTTTAGGTGTCCTGTTGACTTTTTGAATAAATTGCTTAAGTTCTAGCTGCCTAAAGAGATAGCTAATGCAAAAATAAGCAACACAGTAGCCAGCAATTCTCTACTTCCAGTCAAAACACAATCTAGGCAAAGAAAGCTTAAAATCATGTAGGCACGTATTTAAGAAGTGTTGAGATAGCTTGCCATTTCTTTTTTCTGTTCCTATTTTGGAATTGTATAGCTCTGATTCCTGCAATCCCTTTGAAATTTGAATATGACCTCTCATTCCCATAGTCAAGGAAGTTCTGGATCTTTGGTTCATAAGATGTTCTTATCGTCAATTAGTATGGTCTATTTGAACAGAGAAAAACCCCAGAAGCGATGAGTTTTTCTCTTAGCATCAAACAATCCAGGCAACTTGTTCTATGGATGAGTCCACAAATAAACCAAACCTCATTTCTGGATTAGGGAGAGGTGGCAATCACTGTTGCTGGTGACTGGTGGAGGGAGGATAATACTCACGGTTCAGGTGTATACATGGGCTTGGACCCATGTCTGATGTACTGGGTGCAGTGGAAGACTCGGAATGCCAGGCCACCCAGGAAATCCCGAGAGGAGAGCAGGCCAGCCACAGGTCGGAGACGGAAGCCAGTGCAACCTAGGAATCAAGAGAGAAAGAAAACTCAAAGCCCATCACAGCAGAGCCAGAGGGCTCTGAAGATTTTTAGGTAGGGAAGCAATACACCCTGCTGTCCAGGAGATGGGTGTCAATGCCAGATAGTCTTCTCATCTTCAAATATCTACCCAAATACTTTCTAGTTGTGTGATATGGGTCAAATAAGTTCAAGTCTCTGAGACTCAGTTTCCTCGCCTACAATATGTAGATAAATACTTCTTAGGATCATTCTGAAAATCAAAAGAGCTAGCAAAGTACTTTCACAGAATCTAGCACTTTGGAAACATCCAATAAATTTACCTTCTATTATCATTTGTTAAATTGAAATGCTTATTCCCCTACTCATCTTTCCAGATTACAGAGAAAATTTTCATGGCACTTCCCAGGAAGGAAAAGGATGAAAGGAGCACTCTAGCTTCTCTATCTCACCTCACACAGTCCACCCCATGAGGACCAGTGACTTCCCTGATTGGAGCCTTTGGGAAGAGCAATGAATATTCACAATTTCACACTTTCTTCCCTTTTCTCTCTTGACTGTTGGTCCATAGAGGAGCACACTCTGGTCTGCTCTTGCCCATGCAATGGACTACACACTGTGCCAATGAATTGGCAAGGAGTCCATGGTGGCTACACATCTCTACAGCATTCTCTTAGTAGCTTTTATTAATAAAGGTGTCTTTTTGTTCTCCATCTCTTTGGTTCCTCTATTTTCTTCTCAATTTGTTTCATACTTAGGAGAAGAATAAGAATAGTGAGCATCATTATAATAATAGCTAATGTTATACATTACATATTATTTGTCAGACACTGTTCTAAGTGTCTGACAAATAGTATCTGCATAATAACTAATTCTCACAATCCCCATATGAGATAGATGTTTTTACTATCCCCACTTTATAAATGGGGAAGTATGTGTTTACTATGGTTAGTTGATTGTTTTAGTTTGGTTTTGCTGAATTGACACCACCTACTGTCAGAGAGGAAAACCCTTATAACTCTTTGGAAGTGATGTCATCCCAATGATGCAGTTCCCCACTAAGATAGTGAGTCCAAGTTAGCCAAATGCACTGAGCACCTACTATATATGTGTCACTATGCTGGTGATTTCACATGCAGTATCTTATTTCATTCTCACAACTGCCTTCTGAGAAATGCTAAAATGCTGACCCAAACTCTATTGGACAGATGACAAAAGTGAGATAGGCTCATCCAACTAGAGAAAGTCCAAAGCAAGATTCCTACCAGATGGGTGTATAAACTTGGAGGTTGGGCTTTCTCAGCACTGCCCACAGTGCCCACATTTCTTACACACAGACACACTGCTGCCATCTCATAACATAGCAGAGATGCAAGGAAAACCATGACTGGGCAATCTGGGCTTTGAGTATGAAAAATAAAACTACAATGTTTCAGGGGCATTGATAGGTAAAACCCATGTCTTGTGCCTTTAGGGAGGGAGGCGATGAGAGTGCATTAATGGTGGAGGCTGGAAGGGAGGAAGAGCTCAGCAGTAACATTCCATTTTTTCCTGGGAGAATCAATCTACATGCATTGCCACCGGAACACTCACACTAGCCTCCATTTATTGCTCTCCCCTCCTGCCCCTTTACCTTTGATTCCTATGTTCACTTACTCTGCAGAAACTGAGACACCTCCTCCAGCTGAGGAATGTTATCTTCACGGAAGCCACAGTACTTTTCCAGAAGTGGGAAGATGTGGTTGTGCTCATAGCAAGCATGGGTTTTATACAAGGACTTCAGGGTCTTGAACACCGTCCCCCAAGTTTTCTTTTCCTCCTCTGTGTATTCCACTCGAGGGATGGGCTGCCCACTAGAACAAAGGCATGAGATATTTGTCTCTAGCAGGGCAGGTGCATGAAGGAGTGTTAGCAAAGCTGCCATCACTTGGACTCCAATAGATTATGTAACTTGTATGAAAGAGGAAAATTCCACTTCTCGATGTAGAAAACATTCAACTGAATTGGTTAAGCAATGATACAAGATCTCACCTGATCAACTGCCCCAATGATTTGCTGTCACATTGGGAAATCACTTGGCCTTTCTGCTCTCTTATCTCTCCCATTGTTTACATAAGGTGGAATTTCACTTACCTTCAGGGGCCAGGCAGGTAATGTAAATATATAAAGTATCAGGTATAGGCAATAGGAGCGTGGGATTGAGACGATGAAGAATGCATCCTCTTTCTAAACAAAGGCATCCAAGTTCAATTAAAGCATCCGAGTTCAATTAAAGTTTTGTATTATGTCAACTAAAGTAATTGTGAGCTAACGTGGATTAAATATGTGCACTATGAGTTTAAGACCGACCCTTGTTTAGTGGGCAAGCACTTGCTGGATTTGAAATGTTGGTCCCTGAGAAGTTCTGTAGATATTTAAATGCATGCTAAGTATGAGATCTGCTTATCTAGTATATTCTGCTATGACATAACAGAACTACAGGGAGCCCTGTAGATTCTGAATCAGTGGGGAGGGGAGGGCCCAAGCATCTAGATTCCTATAAGTTCCCAGATGACATGCTATCATTCCAGAGTCATTAGTTTAAAAGGTCCTTTTGAAAACTATCTAAGAAGGAGCTGTGTTATGAATAGTAAAATAAAAGAAAACCAAAGAAAGCCTGATTTCGAAGACCTGTGACTGTTCTGTGGGCTGGAGGCCTGTTTCCTAACAGGATACACAGTGTCTGGGACAAGGCAAAACTGTTCATCTCAGAATAATGGCTCATTATCAGGCTCTAAACTGGATCACTCCTGCCTTTTCAGAAGTGTAGCTCACAGGAAAGTAAAGTCACTACTATGGCCTATAGGTGGGCAGGAATCAGGGGGCAGTGACAGATTTTTGCTTAAGTATTGAAAGCAAGACATGCTCATAGGGTTCTGTAATGGCCAGAAGTGATTGTGGAAAGGACATCAGGTGGATCCCCACCTAAGGCTGTACCATTATTTCAGGGCTAAGTGCTGATGAAGGGAAAGAACGGGCTTTTAACACAAACAGAATTGAGTTCAATACTTGGCTGTGCCAGTTCGCAACTAAATCGCCTTGGGCATCTTAGTAAACCTCTCTGAGCCTGTGCAGCTATTACATGGATTATTTGGAGACACATTTTATCAACTGATTACTATACTGGGACTCTACGATTCATGGTGCATAAATTTGACCCCCATGTGGGACAATTATTGAGAAGGCACTAGAGACCCAAATGTGGGGGTTGTTGGCATTGAGGGTAGCAGAAGCTAAGGATGGGGACCAAAATTGAGTCCTAAAAGATGTTACAATTTCTGAGGTGGGAGGAATTGGCCAGAGGAGATGAGAAGAAACCTCAGAAAGGGAAGAGAGAAACCAGCAGAAAGTGAAATCTATGGAGAAGTACAGTCTCCTGATTCTGAGAGTCCCCAGACACCCATGGAAGAGACTGAGAATAATTTCGGAGTTAAGTAAATCTAAGTTCAAAATCAGAGCATGCCACCTGCTAATATATGACTTTGGCAAGTTATTTCACTGTTTCAAGCTGTAGCTTGTCCACCAGGAAGATGAGGAGTCACTATAAAGACTAAATGAAATAATGAACACAAAGCATTTAGCAAAACCCCAGACAGAGCAGGAAGATAACACAGGTAAATGAGACCTATTCTTATTGATCAGCTGAAGAAGTACTCCTGTCTATATCTGATTTGACGTTGTCCACCTGACCATATTGGGGCAAAGGTAAAGACAGAAGAGAGAGAGAGATCACCATGTTCTGTGATTCCTGCTTGCCACCAGCCAAAACCCACATGTACTGGCCCAAGGTCAGCATGGTTCTGGATCCCTCTACCACCAGGAGTCATTCAGAGAATGAATCTTCCTCATTTGAAAGATGACTTTGTCTTCTGTATACAGAGCCTACCATCTCTTTTGTCTCCCTCAAAGTTGTTAAAGAACCACTACTCAGGGTTCTGGTCAATTGCTAAGTTTCTTTTTGTAGACACCTTTTCTCATGCCCTTAACTTAGGAACAGAGCTCAGACACTAAGTTTCCCATAGGAACATCTGACGTTCCTAGGGAAACTCACAATAGCTCACCAGTTCTCCTCCAAATAACATATTTTTTTATATTTTATTGGGTTTTTTTACAGAGAGAAAGGGAGAGAGAGAGAAACATCGATGAGAGAGAGTCATCGATCAGCTGCCTCTTGCACACCCCCTACTGGGGATATGTTCACAACCAAGGTACATACCCTTGACCGGAATCGAACCCGGGACCCTTCAGTCCCCAAGCCGATGCCCTATCCATTGAGCCAAACCGGTTTCGGCCCAAATAACATATTTAATAATTGCATTTTCCTTTGGCTAAAAGAAGGCAGAAGAGGAGCATAGAATCCTAGACAGGGCGGGGGGGGGGGGGGGAGACACTCATCTGAAAATTGCCCTTCTCAGCTGGATCAGCTGGGATGAAAGAAGAACACTGAGGCTGGTGTGCCTGAAACCTCAGATTCATTATTTCAGCAAAGCAGCCAACTCCTGAATGTAAATGATGCTCTTTCTCCTTCCATGTTTAATGTGGAAAATGCCAGAGGCTCTTTTATTCAGCACTGAGGCCTTTTATAATTACATCAGACATCTCAGCGTAATTACACAACAAAGCCTGATAGAGAGATAGGTCCTGGAGCACTGGGTAATTTTGTTTTGTCTAGTAGCATTTTTTAAAACAGGTGTTATTAAAGGGGGCTCTACATGCGCGTGCACGCACACACACAAACACACACACACACACACACACACACACACACACACACACACACACACATAGCAGGCAAGACTCTTCATGTTGGTGTTTTCCAAACTTAGGCAAGGAAGAGGCAGGCTAGGAGTGAGCTCTTCCCCCCAACAATTAAGCAGACTTACTGTCGGTAGTTGTAGGCTATGTCAGCAAAATACTTCCGTCTTGCTCGATACACAGGATCTTTAAAGCCCTAGGAGAAAGGAGACACTTGGTATCTCAAGGCATTGAGTGAGAGCCTTGAGCTCCTTCCCTTGAATATACCCTGAAAATAAATTCTCAGATAAACCAAGGGTAAGCTCTCGCACCAATATGAGAGATGCGTTATTAGCAATGCCCTTAATTTACTGAGCCCCATGCCATGGGATTCCAAAGTGTAAATAATGTACAGATTTTAAAGAAATCTCATTCATAAGCATTTCTAACTTGTAAACTTGCTAAATTAGACCAAGCTGGTAGGATTGACATATACGATATATACAATATCCACTAAGTATTTGACTAATGGTATTTAGAATTGCCTTCTAACTTCTTGATAGATAAACAGTACATGCTTACTGCCATTGCAATTTTTAAAAAATACCATTTATTGATTGCCTACTATGTGCCAGTCTCTGTGTGCTAGAAACTTATTTTATGTATAACTCTGACAACACAATTGTAAGGTACATTATTTTGAAGAGAAAACTGCACTCTCATGTTAAGTGTAGCATAAATCACAATAGCCAAGACATGGAAACAACCTAAGGATACACTGATGAGTGAATGAATAATATTCCATTGCCTATGAGTATTTATTCAGCCATAAAACAGAAGAGAAAAAACTTCTGACAATATGGATGAACTTTGATGGCATAGTGCTAAGTGAAATCAGTAAAAACAAATACTGTATGATCTTACTTATATGTATATGATTTGAGAAATAGAGAAATCCAAATGTTTCACCCTGGAAAAGTAAAATTATCAGACTTTTTTTTTCATTCCACACCTAAGTTCCAGATAAGTTAAGTAATTATTAGTTTAGAAAATTTCTATGACATGATTATCACAAGGTATAACTTGTTTTCCCAAAGCATGCATTGTTTTTCATCAGTAATTGCTATAGAACTCTGAAAAATCAGAACTACCATTGGGTCTACTTCTTCTGGGAGAAGATCAGTTGATGTGATAGGAAAAATGGGCACCATGATTTTATTTCCAAGTAGCACCAATAACTCTTTCATGAAGCCATCTACTGGGCTGAAAGAACAACACATCTCCAATCTGAGAACTCAAAATATAAATTTAATGGGTGTCAATCATTAAAGCTTGATCATGACTGTCATCCTTACCTCCCAGTCTTATGTAACAGTCAGTAGTAAATGGATTAAACAGACCCTAGGTATGAAATGTAGACTTTTGCCCTTGCAAGATGCCTTGAAGAACATCTAGTTCTATACTTTGATCTACATCTGAAGAAGGAGAAGCTCAGAGAACCATCTGCCCAAGAACCCTCAACTAAAGAACCAAGATCTCCACACAGGTTTTCTGGTCCTAACCAGGCTGATGAGTAGAGGTTTGAGGGTTGAAGCTAAAAAAGGGAGACAAGAGAAGGATGTCCTTAACCCACGGATTTCCACCTCATCATGTCATATCCAGAAATGGGGTGTCCAAGACAATGTATGTTCCCTTTTAGACTTTCTATCTTTAATCTGTAATGTACTTTGTCTAGGTAGCTTAAATATTTCTTTCCATCAGTGAAAAAAAAGCTTGCAATAAATTCATGTATCCAATAAATGTCAACTTTGTCAGAGAAATAGGTAAATATATTCATGAAATGATGGAAGAAGTACACCAAAGCCTAACAAAAGTTATGAAAATGAGAAAAAAAAAATAACTGTTTTAGTCTTGTATACTATTTATGCTTTTAAAGTTTTCTGCTGTGTATAGGGTGTTTTTAATAGCTAGAAAAAAGTAAAATAAAAGTATAAATCCGTCTCAAATAATTATGGAGAGTGGCAGCAAATTCACCCATTGAGATACATCAACATACATACGGATTCTCTCTGTGGGATGGTTTCTAACCACAGTTCTTTTCAACTCAAAGTCACTAAAAAGTTCATTAGTTGCCTGCAAGGGGACCCCATCAACTAGACTGCATAGGCTTTTGCTCTTCTTATTACCAGTGAAAGGGAGCTATAACCTGGAAGTCCGTCTCTCAGGAAGCTGGCCTTCCATCCTATGAGCTGCCGGGGGACCACAGGGCCTCCACACCACGTGGAATACACTGTGAATGAAGCTATGGTCGGTGATGACTAATCATCCTGTCCAATTTAGTCTAACAGCAGCAATGTCAGAAACACTGCATGTAATTTATTTATAATCACCCTGTCTCAATTAGGCTAATAGCAGCAATTTGAGTTGCACTGCGGGTAACCAAGTATGTTTTGACAGGAAAATATATTGCCAGTGAAGAAGTGATGAGGGGAAGGGGGAAAGGGGAGGACAGATGGAAGAATGTATAGAGAATTCTACAGGGTACAGTCTACACATGATTACTTTCCTTAATCTCAGGATTTTTGTTACCTGAGTGTGTTGAAGCATGTGAGTTTGTTTTTTAGGGGGCTTTGGGAAAAAGGGTAGCTATATGGAAAAGTTCTGAGTATCCTTCTAGATAGAGATCTTATATCATTATTTCCTGATATCATAGCTAAGCTTAAACCTCAGAAATGCCATCTTTAGTCACACAAACTGGAACTAATAAAAGTAACATTAATGTCAACTGTAACTGCTTTCTTTGTCTCCTCCCCAAAACCATCTCTCTTCACTTTAGCCCATGTAAATTTAATAAAATGCAAATCTGGTCTTATTCTAATTATTTAAACACACCACGCTTTACCCCCACATGGAGGCCTTCACACACTCTATTCCCTCTAATTGGAATACTCTTCCTCACTTTCTCAGACCAAAACTACTATTCAGTCTTTCTATCTTGGTTTACATCACACCTTCCTTAATTTTTCCAGTTTATTGGTTTTCTTCTACAATACACTCTCTCAGCAATCTGAGTGTTTTTCCTTTTAGACAATCATAATACTTATTTTTTAAACATAATTTTACTGATTTCAAAGAAGAAAGGAGAGGGAGAGAAAGATAGAAACATCGATAAGAGAGAATCATTGATTGGCTGCCTCCTGTTCGCCCACTACTGAGGATGGAACCTGCAACCTAGGCATGTTCTCTGAATAGATATTGAACAGTGACCTCCTGGTTCATAGGTCTATGCTCAACCACTGAACCACACCGGCATGGCATAATCATTATACTTGTTAATAATTATTTAATTCAGGAATCTGTTTGTCTTACTTATCACTGGATTTTCTGTACCCGGCATACTTGGCACACTCCTGAGTAAGATCTATTAAAAATTATGCAAACATAAACAAAACAAACATAATGGGGTGCCTTTTCAAAATCCTATCAGATCACTATTTAACAAGCTCACTGGGTGCTCCAGGGGAACAAACATTTGCTTGAAGTGCAATTTACAACTTAGTAAGGCCTTAACACTTCAAAGTTGGATACTGACAGATATTTATTCCAAAATATTAGTTCCAATATATTTTATTTTATGATCCTGTTGCAAATTATTTGTGTTTAGTAGAAAAGAGAACACTCACAGTTACAGTTTTCCTGCCTTCTAGGACATTGGTAATTTGTGAAACCATCTTTGTGATCTTATTCCAGAACTCTATTTTTCAAAAACCATTTATACTTTGGTCTCTTGTGTCTTCCTTTGCACCATCTTTGTCATCTTGCTGGGTCCCTCATTTCTGAATCCATGGATCTTTGTCACATGTTCACTACATATACCTGTATAACAGTTGTTTCTAATTTTTAAAAATTACACTTTGTCAGAGCAACTTAGTTGTAATCCAACAAGTCATTGATGATGACTCAACTGGCTGACTTTTAGGATAGATTCTGACAGGCCCTCAGGTGGAGAAGGTTGAGTGGGCGGAAGGAAGAGAAAAGGAGACAAGTATTGGAAATATAGTCCCTGGTCTTGGGGAAGAGCAGGTTCTTGTTGGCAAGTTGAAAAGCAGTTTGAGAGACTTGGATCAAGAACAGAAATAAACACAGGACAGTTTTTGGTCACTCACATTTTCCCCACTGAAAGCTTTCGTCAGTGTGGGTCTTCATCTAGAGTTTAGACATGGGGGCAGGTGTTGGGAAATTGAAAGAGAGAGCTCTGAGTGGTAGGGGTCACTGGTATCTCCTTCATTGTCTCTGAGAATATTGCTAAATTACTTTCCTCTACATTCTTACTAGGTTAGTTGTGGGCCTATGACTGAGCTGTAGTCAGTGGAATTTGAGTGAAGAGATGTGAGTCACCTTCCATCCTGGCCCATGTGAACCTCCCATGAGCCATTCTCTGTCTTTTCCAGGCACTGGCACCAGGCTCAGACTCCAAGGACTTGGAAGATGGTGCAGCTCTTAGTTGGAAGGAGACTTGATCTCTACATATGGAGCAATTTCCCTATTTGACTACACTGGAAATAAACATTTTTTGGGTTAAGCCATGGAGGTTTGGGGGCTGTCTGATAAGTAAGCAGTTAGCCTACCCTGGTTACCAGAGGGCTTAACTCAGATCTCCCTGTTTGGGAAGTCCTTCCTAACCATTCTGCCCACAGTGACATTAAAACTGATAGCATAGCAGTAAACCTGGTACTTACTCATACACTCTTTTTGCTTTATGATTTAGCCAAATAATACCCAAACTATATTCCATGGAACACTACCATTCAAGATAATGTTGCTAAGGGTCAATAAGGGATTCCATGGGTAAACAAGTTTGAGAAACATTAGGTGAAATGAGTTTCTTTTTTGCAGGATTTCCAAAGCCTCTAATGAGACCAGGGAACTTGTAAATGCTGAAAATGGGGTTTTAGAACACAGTGTTTCTCCCTTTGATCATGAGATCTTTTTTATAGACGCTAGTTCAGGACACATGTATATGACCCTCCACTTGCATATGTCTTCTGGCTCCTGTGAGGTTATTATAAGTTATGAAGTGGTGAATTTATTTTGACCTGATACTCTGTGATCAAAGTATAAATCACAATGACACAGCTCTACAGCATGAGTGTGGGAACCACTGGGCCTGGGGGCCAGGTGGATGGGAGGCTCTAGGGAGGCCAAGATATGTGAGTTGGGCCTTAAAAGTAAATATGCTTGCATGTTAGCATAACCAATGGACACAGACACAGTGGTGTTTGCCCAGGGTAGAAATGGCTGGGAGGTGCGGTCAATTTGAAGAAAAGTAGACATATGTAAAATTTTAAACAATTGATGATAATAATTAATAATAATAATAATAATAATAATAATAATAATAAAAGTAAATAGAAGCCTTACAGCAGAGAAGGGGCATCTGGGGGATAAGGAAAAGCATCCCTGGCAGAGGAAGCAATGTGGACCAAGCACAGAGGCTGAGAACAGTTGGAGAAAGGAGAATTGTTTTTAGAAATGGAAATCAAACAGACCCACTTGCATTCTGCTTGCCACCCTCATCCCCTCTGCCATCCCTTTGGAAGAGTAGCCACTCACCCTCTTGTCTCAACCTTACAACTGGAGGCTCCTGGAAGGAAGGGATCTTGTTTTATTAATCATTTCAGCCCCCTTCCCTGCACATGGCCTGGGACACGACTCACAGACACAGGAGCTCACAGCCCTCTCTGGCTGAGATTTCTCACTGGAAAATGAGAAAGTGCAACCTTCCCACGGATTAGGACATTTAAGTTTTTAAAATGCAGGGAAAGCATTTAGCATAGTGTCTGGAACTCATCCATGCTCAAGAAATGTTAGCTCTGAATATCATTCGCTTAATAAACATTAAGTGGAAGGAAGACAGGGGACAGGGATGGAGGGATGGAGGAACTGAAACAGCTAGTCTATTTCATTCCCCTTCATCTCTGTCTCAGGAACAATCCCTCCCTGGCTGTATTGAAGGCCCTGGTGTGGGCTATTGGGTCAAACCTTAATGCCTACTGCCAAGAGCAGGGGTCAGGGCGAGGTGCACTCCTCCGGAGCCTGTGGGACAGAGAGGAACAGAGGGTCCTCTCCAAGGAACACCTCTGCCCACACCCTGGAGGGCCTGTTCTGACCTTGGCCCATCTCTTCCCAGATTGGATGAGAAGCCACGGGAAGGAACGGGAAGAGCCTGGCCTCTCCTCAAGGGGACAGTGTACCTGATAAATTATATTTTTACAATAAAATGCATGTCAACTGAGAGGCCAGGGAGCCAAAGATGTGGGCTGGGACTGTAAGGAGAAATTAACTCCAGAATTTTAAGATCAGCCCCATCTGCCTCTCAGAAGACAGGCACCAGGACAGAGGTGGGGAGATGGCCATGTCTATGGACTAGCCTCTGTTCTCACATCCCCAAATGACAGGGGGTGTGGCCAACAAAAGGGACGTGGGGCAGGGCAAGGGCACTGGAGCTTGGTAAGAGGAGAAAGGCCACAATGGGCCAACCCCATTGTCTGGGTCAAAGGTCATCAGACAGCTTTGCAGAGAAATTCTACCTTTTTTAAAAATATGTTTTATTGATTTTTTACAGAGAGGAAGGCAGAAGGATAGAGAGTTAGAAACATTGATCAGCTGCCTCCTGCACACCTCCTAGTGGAATGTGCCCACAACCCAGGTACATGCCCTTGACTGGAATCAAACCTGGGACCTTTCACTCCACAGGCCAATACTCTATCCACAGAGCCAAACCAGTTAGGGCAGAAACCATATCTTTGAAAATGCCTTGCTCTCGGGGCCTCCGGCCAAGAGGCCCCAGACATGTCAAAGTGGATCATTCACAACTTACTCAACTGTAAGGACCCATGTGACATGAGAAGAAATTATACTGTGGGTAAAACACAGACAGTCCCTTAGTGTTAGACTAACCCACTGCAAATGGAAATAGCCTTCAAGTCATTTAAAGATGAATGAAGTCTCTTGCCTGGGCAGACAGTAAAGGACAGTCAACATAATCATGGTTACACCTCTTGCCTATAGAGGCTGCTAGAACTAGCTCTGAGCCAGGCTGGGCTGCTCCATCCCAGGACCCCCAACCCCAGAGAAAATGGGGATAAAATCTCCCAACACTGGTCCTCTACCCAGAAGCCATTAAAGGACCCACTCCCCTGCCCACAGGTCATGGGTCACAGTCTGAGTTCTCCATCTGGTACATCAGATCTTTTAAAACCTGACCCTCACACCTATCACACCAGCCAGCCCTTCTAAAATATTCCAGCTATTTTCAGGACCCTGAACCTTCACATGTACCGTTCCCTCATATCGTACTGCCTCCTGCCTCTTTGTTTGACTAGCATCTTCCACTCAGTTTTCAAGATCCATTTCAATATCACCACTCCCCACGACCCCTGGATCTGGCAGAGTTGTTAGAAGACTTTGCTGTCTTCCAAGCCCTTGAATTAAACCTCTGTAATTGTAAAAGTCAGAGAAATAAAGATTACTTACATATCTGAGTGTGTTTGTGTGTGTGTGCACACACTTACATGCATGTATCATATATAAACAATAGTTTCTAGATAACTCATATTTGAGCCAACAACAATAATGGCTATGATAATGATGATGATGTGTGAGTAGGCACTCAATAAATGGCTGCTGTACAAGAAAACAAAGATGCATTGCCCCAGAGTAGCATGGGGAGGAACCAAAAGCATCTCATGGGCAGGGCCATGGACTCACGGGGTGGTCTGCATCCAGTTCCGCTCCATAGCTGAGAATCTGGTTGGCAAATCTGTCCAGATCTTGAATGGTCCTTGGGAACCAGGGTACTGAAAAACAGAAAGAGCCAACTGAGCAGCAGATTGGCAGGACATGGTCAAAGTCAGAAGTATGCAATCGGCCCCAATTAGTCAAGTTAGTGGTGGTGGAAGTGGAGTTCCAGACAGCCATCAAATTACTCATTCAAAAACTATATCCTGTTTTCCTTGAAAACTATTTTTTTTTAATTTCAGCTTTGTTCAAGTATAAGTGACAAAATGGTAAGATATTTGAAAGGTACATGACTGTGATTTGATGTATGTATACATTGAAAGAATCCCAGCCCACGTTTTAATTAGCACATCCTTCACCTCACACTTATTTATCTTCTTTCAGAAGGATGTGAACATTTAAGTTCTATTCTCTTAGGTAATTGCAAGTATACAATACAGTATTATCACCTATATCACTGTTTTATATATTAGATCCTCAAACCTTATTCACCTTATAGCTGAACGTTTGTAGCCTTCTACCATCTCCTATTTCCTCCACCCTCAGCCCCTGGCAGCTACTTGTCTACTCTCTGTTTCTATGAGTTTAACTTATTTTTTATGGTCCATATATAAGTGATACTATGCAGTATTTGTCTTTCTCTCTATGCCTATTTCACTTAGCTTGGTAGAAACTAATTTTAAGACACATTCCCAAGCATTTTCTCTTTCCTGGGGATTTTCTCTGAATTACCTCAAAATTAATCTCTTTCCCACCTATCATAGTAGAGAGGAACAGTATTTTTATGTTTTTCTTTAGCAGCAGAATATGGATGAAACCCCAGAATACAATCCAGATTAAACCAGAGCTGTTATATTGTCCACAAGGATGAGCCCGTGAGACCCCATCTTCTTATCATGGGTCTCCCTCGCAATAGCCCCAGGCATCCTGGAAGACTCTGGATGCCAACGCCCATTTGGAAGCCACTGGCGAGATGGACTAAATGGAGTCAGGTAGCAGGATTTTAGAATGCTTAGCAGAATCCAAGGAATCTGTGGGCTTGCGTGTGTTTGGAGCAGCATAATAGGAAAGAAAATGGGGTCTGCAGACATTGGTCATGCAGAGGTGGTGGCACCCAAATCGCTGTGGCCTATAGGGAAGAAGGCATCTTAGGAGTGGCATTGTCCCAGGAATGAACAGAGACTAGGGCATTTTGGACTGTAAGGTCCATGAAGGCAGGAACTATGAGTGCACTGTAGTTCCAGGTGCATAAGGGGAAAGGAGGGAGAGAGGAAAGAAAGGAGAGAGGGAGAGAGGATAGAATAGGAAGGAAGGGAGGGAGGGAAGAAGGAAGGGGAAAAATCTGGTCATGTTAACATGTAACAGTAACCATCATGCATGGAGTGTCAATTCTGATTTATTTGCTATTTCTGAAGCGTCTCCAACGTTAAGAAGGTATTATGCTTTCTATTGTTCAAATGAGAAACCGAGGCTCTGAAAGCCTAAGTAACTATTTTATAATCACACAGGAATAAGAAAGTGGTAGACCCAGAAAATAAGTAGAGAACATAAGTAGACATAGTGGGCAGACTGTGACGTGAGCACAAGGCACCCCTCAATACCCTGAAATGAGATTTAGGGGAAAGGATGCTGAACTTGCAGTCAACCTGGCCTGGGTTTGACTCCAGGCTCCATCTACCTATTATCCTATTTGTGCCTCAGTCTTAACTATAAAATTGGGAATAACAGCAACAATAATGGGAAGCATAGCAAAAAATGTTGAGGCCTTACCATGTACCAGGTGCTTGCTTAGCATTTTGGTTGGAATGCCTCTTTTAATATGAGGATTGCTGTGAGAAGTAAGTAAGAATGTAGGCAAGGCATGCAGCCCAGTGTATGGCCCATAATAGGTATTTTCCATCTGGGGCAAGTTATTTCTGATTCTGCCCAAAGGCTCAATCCAGGTCCAGCAGGAAAGAACATGTGTGCCATCTAGTGGCCAGACTGAAGAAATGTCATCCATGATCTAGACACACTCCACCAAAACAAGAGGCTTTTCTCAGCAGTGTTAATACAGGTTCGTTAAAAAAAAATTTTTTTTAAAATAAATGTTCATGTAGAGCCTTATTTCCATGGGTCTGAAGTGCTAAGCTCTCTACTGCCTATGTGAGTAATAAAAAGTAATATTTGACCTATGAAGTGGGTGCTATTGGTCTCCCCATATTACAATGAGGAAGCTAAGGTACAGAGAGGTTGAATAGCAAACCCAAACACACACTGCTAAAAAACAATGAGTCTGGCTACTCCGCTGTCTCAGGCCTTAACCATGAATCCACCTCACCACATGGGCTGGGGGCAGAGCACACTGGTTTGGACAGCTGCCTGCCTGATTGTCTTTGCAGCTTCCCACCTGGGGTTCCCATGGCCTCAAAGCCCAGCCCATGTCTCCCAATTATCTCTCTGTGATGATAATAACAACAGGAACAAAGATGGGCAACAGGAACAAAGATGGGCAACAGAGCTGGACAGCTGGGGCTGGAACACCTTCTCTGCGCTATCTGTGGCACCCAAGAACTTCTTTGTGCCTCAGTCTTCGCAGCAATAAAATGGGGATAATAATAGTGCTCTAATGTACTACTTTAGAAGAACAATATGAGGGTAAATGAGTTAATATATGTGACTTGCTAAGAACAGTACCAGCACATCGTAAATACAGTTGACCCTTGCACAACACAGGTTTGAACTGCACAGGTCCAATTGTACGCGGATTTGTTTGAATATTTATTCATAGATCATCTGTTATTGGTAAAGCTTTTGGTCAACAGCAGGCTGTTAGTAGTTAGTTAAGTTTTGGGGGAATTAAGTGATATTTGGATTTTTGATACAGTACAGGGGACAGTGCCCCTAACCTCCCATTGTTCAAGGGTCATCTGTACTATTATTGCTCCACTACAAACTCCAGGGAATTATTTTTACTGGGCCCTTAACTCAACATAGCATAGAGAACAAAATAGAAAGCCTTCTACCAAAGCTAGAAGGTCTGCCACTTATTTATTGTATAACTGCGCCAGCATTTTATCTCTCAGAGCCTTAGTTTCTTTATCCACAAAATGGACAAAAACTGTCTTATTGCATGAATTAAAATAGCAAATGTGACAATCCCAGCACAGTGACTGACTCAACATAAGGGTTCAGAGTTCACCATTAGGATGACAAAGATTTTAATGATGATGATATTTAGGGAGAGGAGGGAAAATGAAGGAGAAGCAAGACTAGAGTCAGGAAGCTGGTGGTCAGCCCAGCCCTGATATTAACAGGCTTTCTAATCCTGGGCCTCAGTTTTATTCTCCATAAAATGTGAGGGTTTGGATTCACTTGCTGCTGCAATCCCTTTGGGGTTTCAGATTCCAAGACCTATGAAATGCCTGTGACAGTTGAGACTGGCCTAGACACCTGAAAACACACTTCTAGTTCAATCTGTGTGCAGCCTTGCCTGTTTCTGGAAGTATAGTCACTACATTTGCTCTGTTGCCAAAATGCATTGCCTCTACCCTTTCCATTTCTCCTCTCACCAAAGAAACAAAGATCTCTACCCCAGGAATAGAAGTCTTTGGGACCCCACCTTGACTCGCAGCTGTGTGTGCTGGCTGTTTCTCAACTGAACGCCAGAGGGCAGCAGAACCAGCATATTTTCAGCTCTGGATGACTGTGTGTGTGTGTGTGTGTGTGTGTGTGTGTGTGTGTGTGTGTGTGTCCTCCCAAGGGAAAACATTAGTTGAGCCACATGACTTAGTTCAGACCCCTTGGTGGAGAAAAGTGGCAAATTTGGGAAAATTGCAAAGACTCAACGGACTGAAGTCTTGGTGAAGCTAAATACAGCCTATGTGTTGTCCTGGTAGAAAGAGGACCCTGCCAGGCTCCTGATGAGGAGTTCACCAGCTGTCCCCTTGGAGAGCAGAAACAAGGCTGAAGGAAATGAGACCCAGAAGAGGCAGTTCGAGGTGTAGGGAATATGGTATCAATGTCCCGACAGGCCTTAATTTCTGGGGAAGAGGCCAACCCGAGCAGGCTGTGAAGCGGGCAATGTGGGGACACCATGGGCTCCAGGGGTAGAGATTGCAGAGGACCCCAGACAAAGACAGGACCAAGTCTTTACACCGGTGCCTGCCCTTCATACTGCTCAATGGGAGTGCACACCCTGGACTGGAAGCCAGCAGGTCTATGTTCACATTTTCTCTCTCCCACCCCAAACTGCATGACTCTGAACATGTCACTTGAGGCCTGAGCCTCTGGCTTCCCATCTGCAAAATGGGTCAGGCAGCCAATCCCTCACTAGCCAGCTGGGTTGGGGGGAGAAGCAACTGATCAACAGTACGTCAAGCTGTGTCTTCATTACACAGAGACACTTCCTAGTTGAGTAAGGTGACGCAGGCCACTGGTGATAGGGCAGATCCATTCCTGTGTCTCCATCCTCTACAACGGGGCTTTCCCAAATTTCCCAGCCAAAAAATTATAGTTACCTTTTTTATTATTATTATTATTATTTAAGTTACATTTTTTTTGAGAGCTTATGATGCACCAGATCCTGTGCTAAATGCTTTCCTTCCATTATCTACTTAAATTCTCAGAGCAGCCGAAACTGGTTTGGCTCAGTGGATAGAGCATCGGCCTTTGGACTGAAAGGTCCTAGGTTCGATTCCAGTCAAGGGCATGTACCTTGGTTGTGGGCACATCCCCAGTAGGAGGTGTGCAAGAGGCAGATGATCAATGATTCTCTCTCATTGATGTTTCTAACTCTCTATCCCTCTCTGTAAAAAAAAAATCAGTAAAATATATTTTAAAAAAAAAAACAAAATTCTCAAAGCAATCCTAGGTGGTACCATTATTGTTTCTGCTTTACTCATGAGCAAACTGAGGCTCAGAGAGATGAGCAGACTTGCTCAAGCTCCCTGGGCTGGAGTTAGAACTCTGCAGCTTGTGTATTCCACCGCTGTTCTGGGCTGGCTCGGAATAAGGTAGGCGGCACAGGGGTCCTTGGTTTTAGATTCCTGTGCTCTCCTCAGGAGAGGGAAAGGTGACG